AGGATATTGGAGGGAGGGGCAAAATACAAAGAAAAGACCCCTTTCAAAGAAATCTGAAATACACAGGGTTCCCAAAGTGTTGATTATAATATTTTTTCTATATAATTAACTTGCTTTGTTATATGTTTTATTATCATTGATTCACTCTCTCAGTCTTCTTGGGGTCTGCCTTTTCACAGCTTTCTTGAAAAATTGAGCTATTTTTGCTTAAGACCCCAAGGGTAAATTAAACAGACGGAGCTCTGGCACCCATAGTTGAAAATTTTGACTGTAAAATTCTATATAAATGCTAGGTAGACCTATTTTTATTGATTATTATAAACATTTATTTGGAGCTCTTCCCTGTGCTATCTAGATGCTTTCCCAAGCTTAAGTGGAAAAGTCTTCCCAGTGTCCTTTTTAAAATTCCTTCAAGGATTTTGAGATTTCATATAGGTCCAAGGAGCTATCAACTGTTACAAGATATACATAAATATTGAAGGTGATTAGGAAAATAAGCATCAATATCGTGTAATGAATTTTTGCCAGCAGAGCCAATATGGGCTTCCAAGGAAACTGTACCTCTGCACCAGCTCGTTTATGTTTAGAATCCAAGTGTGTGGGTATCTAGGTTGGGATGCTCTGCTCCTATGTCTTCAAGGAATTGAAGGTATTTTTTTACTGTTATTGTTGTGTATGGTTTGCTGTTACTGGATATGGATGGTAAAGCTGATCACAGTAATGAATATGGCACCAGACTATCCTCAGAAGTCTGTGCCCTGATTAAAACAGACTCTTTTTCCCTTCAATTCAGATTACTGCTATCCAGAATCTATCTTATAATCTGATCTGCTGTGAAACAAATAGAAATAAAACTTCTGATTCTGCTCATAATCTAAACACAGATCAAATTCACATAGTTCTCAATTAAGGATTGAGAACGTTCTAATGAAACATTCTTATGTTGTTTTAATGAATGTTCTAATGAAATTTCTTTTCTGTAGTGATTCTCCCCACAGTCTGAATAGGGAAAAAAAGAAGTGTCATGTGTTTCTGATTGAGAGATGTTGCTGAATTTTTCTAAACTTTTAGGGTTATTTAAAATCAAAGGATTTTGCTGGTTTTCCTTAAAAAGCATTTATTTAGGAAAACCCGCTCAGTAGCTGGATTTTGTGGGTAACTTCCTTCAAAAATTATTGTCTGAAAAGACAAAAGACTGAGATCTGTCAGTGATTAATGAAGCAAATGGCTTTTTTACACAGATTTTGTCTCTAGGAAATATCCAGAAATACGAGAATCTTAAAAAACATCCTGAAAAATACAGAAATATTTTGAAAAAAAAATACTGCTGCTCCACAGTATGTCACTTCCTTCGCCATCGGTACAGAAAAGTCTCTTCAGAGACTCTTCAGAGAAGTCCCTTACCTTTCAGGTTACATTAAGGCAGGCCCAACTTTTTATATGTTGGTCTGGCACCCTGAAATATCTTGGCCTTTCATTTCATCAGACAAACCATCTGTTTTAAAAACCGTAAAAGTGATAGTGCAATGAATAAAACTGATTCTTTGAGTGCCAGACCAGAGGAATCAAAGTTCAGTATGATAAGCACTTTGAAGAGAAAAGTAAAACTATTACGTATGCTATCAAATCTGATGCTGTATTCAACATATATGTGAGTGCTTGCTGCGTTTCTCACAATAAGGCCATTTAGATACTAAGTTGGCTTTGGAAGAAGGAGGAAGAAAATACTCTGCCCCAATAAAAAAGTATTTGTGGCTTTCAAGAGAGCTTCGTGGAACACTGATTCCACCATCCTTTTCCTTGAATTAGGCTTTCAGAAGACTATTTCCTAAGCCTAAAACTCTTACTTCGCTTGTCACAGTTTTAGGCTCTTGAAAGTAGTGCCTCTTTCATCCCCTGCTGTTCTACAGGTTCTTTTTAATTGTGGTAATTCTGCTTCCTTCAGTGCAATGGCTGCTGAGTTAGAGCAGAGCCAGATTAATACAATTTCCTGTAAAAGTTTAGACTTTAGGAAGTCAGAAGAATTTACTGAAACTACTCAGTTATTAGAAGATTCTTCCTTAAAAATTTTGCTCCTCCAAATAAGCGCATCATTAACAGAGCCATTCTTGAGAGGGGTAGACCTGTCACTTCAAACTAAGATCGCTATTACCTGCTGCTGTGGTTGATGTTTTGACCAGGAGCAGAAATTCGGGCAGTAGAACTGACAGCTCCAAAGGTCTCAGACTTCCAAATTAAATCATTATTTAAATACAGAAACAAAAGAGGGAGAAGCCTTTGTGAGGTCTTTCACAACACAGTTCTAATATTGCTAATAAATGTTCTCTGATGTCCAGTGTACACTAAGAAATGGCACTAATCTCTCAAGCCACTATTTTTAAAATAACAGCAAGACACAATGTATCAGAAGTCATGTTGTGATCAGAAGTCATGTTGTGGTCCAGATATAATGAAATGTGTTTCTCCATTCCCGATTTGCATCTTGATATAAAAGGGGTTAATTTAGCAGGATGTGATTCGTAGTCAACAGCTCACAACAGCTTCCCACAGCATTCAAAGAACAATGTATCTTCTCTAGTTTAATCAGACTTATGGGCAGATAGGGAGGCATTTTTATGCTTTTGGTACTCTCTTACTCTGTATGTTGGCCCATTCAGAGTGATTTCTCCTGTAACATGGTACTACACAGGGTACCTATGCATATCATAGCCTCTGCCATAATTTTTAATAAGTATCTTATCTCTGTGATGCAACTAAAAGCAATTCTGAGTGTCTCCAGGGTTTGTTTTAATTAGATTTTATTGTTATATTTGAAAATGTACAGGTTTTGAACACTGGAGCAAGAAAAACAACAAAGATTCTAGGAGATGATAGTCTGATTTTCAGAAGGATTTAACCCTTGGTGGTTTACAAATTCACAAGCTTACTTATTTTCCCCAAATAGGTGTTCCTACATGCAGCTGAGGCCACAGGCTACGGCAGCTAGTTTATTTTGGTAGCTGATGTCAGATAGCTGTGCAAATATTATTATTTATACCTACAATTAGATGCTAAGTAATAGATATGGTAATTTGTGGTTGCCTAATAACACCTCCAACACAGTTGAAGATCCCTTCTAAAAACCATATACTTTCACTTCAACCTCTGTCTTCTCTGTTTTTACAGCTACAAAGTGAGGACAGAAGTCCCCGTGCTGCCCATGAAGGTGGTGAAGTGAAGGGCAGAGTTTACCAGCTTCTAATCCGAACAATAAAGAAATTACTTGTGTTTTATACCTGCTTGGTTTTCTTGCCATGAGTTGTGGCAGATTGTTTTTGGAAACTCCTATAATAATTTTTTCCCAGTCGAAATATTTCCTTCAACAATGTCATCTTTTCTGCTCAGCGTTGCTACTAATCTTTATTTAGTTATTTACTTTACAATTTCTAGAGGGATTGGATGTGCCCAAGGCACCCCTTTAGGCAACACTTTATATCAAGGTTCCATTTATAAATACTTCATGAAGGGCTAATAAATGATTAATAGATGTTTTAATGTATGACCAATCAATTGTTGTGGATTTCGTAATGCGCAACAGACAAGTAGGTTTCTTATAAGCATAGATTATAACCATATCTGACATCTTCTACTGATGAGCTTCTAAACATCTATAACATACACACTACTCATATCTGTAACATGCTTAAAACATCTACTAATCACTGATTAATATTTTATAACCTATTTTGAAGTGGAACCTGTCTGTGGAGCATATCCCTTACTGCTGTCTGTGACTGTCCATTTCTACAGGATTGAAAAATCAACTTATCATATCAGGATTTAAATTTCTTTTAATTTTAGCTTTTTTTTTGAATTAGCTTTAGTATTTTTACATAAATGTAGGAAAAAGTGGTTTTGCTGCTGCAAGACTTCTCTTTTTTTCTACTTAACTTCTGCCAACACTGTTCTGCATTTTGCCAGCACTGCTATGTGCACTGATTCTTAGGGGGCCAACCCATAATAAACTATGTTGTCACTCTGTTGAACTCAGTTTCTGTGGCTGTTACCAAGGCAGCTGTCTCAGTGACAGTTCCTGTTTTTTTTTTCCCTGTTGTCATTTCTATGCTCTTCGTTCAAAGTTTCTTCATCTCAGAAAAGGATGAGGACATATAAGCTTCCAAATAATCCTGTGAACATCTCCCAAGACATTTCACATGTTTTTTAAACCCAGGTGCTGATATGAATGCTTGTCTGTGGGATTCAGATAGATAGTCTCCTAAGGTGAAAGCCAGGCATGGGCTCAATGCTGTATACAGAGTACATAACTAAAGCACTCTAAAGGACATGTTAAGACTCCCTCCTGAAAACTTATGTGGATCCAGAAATTAGTCCTTCACAGATGAGAAACAGCAAGTTTCATAGGACTTTTGTCTCATGTTTTACAAAGGGAAATTTTGAATCTGCAGTTGATTTCCACTGAAGTTAATCATAGGGTTGAGTTCCAAGCTGTGGTTTATCTAGGTGTTGAGACCAATTCTTTGACAACCTAAATTGAAAGGAGCTGCAGGTTTTTCTCATTTCTGGGGTCATTAGCTAAACAGTCTCTGTTCTGAAGTGTATCCCCAATCCTGCTCAAATCACATGCTAATCTTTCATTGAATTTGTTAACAGCAGGATTAAGCTGCTACACCTGTGGCATTAGACTGTTACACCTAAAGAAACACGACAGGCACAACTCCCCTTTGCCCCCCAAATCAAAGAACACAAGGGGAAAAAGTGAATTTTGTTCTTCAGCATTTGTATGGAATTTCCTCCGTTTCTTTTTTTTTATGACCATTCTTTGTCAAAGAGAGTGGTGCCTCAGAAATAAGAACCTCTCAAAATTACTTGAGCTTTTGGAGCTGGAGCTTTCCTCCTTGTTAGCACAGACGCCTTTATCTTTGATGGTGAGCACTCTGCGTTCTTGTGTTTATCGGTGGCTTTCCCATGATCTTTTCTTTCTTTTCCTTTCTTTTTTTCAGCTCGTTAATAATCCCCTAGCAAGTCAAGCAGCAGCGGCTGCGGCGGCAGCAGCCATGGGCTCCATAGCCAGCTCGCAGGCCTTTGGCAACGCGCTCTCCAGCCTTCAGGGGGTCACAGGTCAGCTCGTCACTAATGCACAAGGACAGGTGAGTCAAAGATGGGCAAAACAGTGAATTTTGATGGCAGGCTGATCTTGGGACAAAAATGAGTTCCGCCTGTCTGACAGCAATTTGAAAGTGCACATATGGGAGATAAATAAATATTGATTCCACAGACAGGGCAAGAAATAGAAAGTCTGAGAACTGGGAAGAAGTTAGGAGGGTGCTACAAAGTGCTCTCAAGCAAGAAAGGGTTTGGGTTTGTTGGTTTGTTTTTAATCCAGCCTTTTGAAGACATCACCATAATGTGATAATGTGATATTTTAAATATGTACAAGTCACTTGCACTTCTCCATAGTTAATGGCCTAATGACAAAGAACCATATTAATGTGCTATTGTACTGTTGAGGCTGTACCTTTCCTTTTTTTCCTTTTTTTCCTGCAAACTATAGCATTTCTTTATTACTTCCCTGTGAGACACCTTTATAGAAAAGTGTAACATTTGTTAAGTAAGGGAGCAAAGAAATTGTAATGAAGTATCTGTCCTTGATGGATTTAATTGGGTGGCCTACTCATTTGCTGATTAACTACATTCAATAATTTGTAATGAATCTGATAGGCTGTAATGGAAACTTGGAAGAAACTTTTGCTTTTCAAAAAAGAATTCTAGATGGAAATTTGAAGCGGATTTATGATAAGTGTAAAAGAGAATTGTGCATTGTCTGCATTTGGGAAGCTGTTTATTACAAATAACCTCTTTGATGTAGAAAGATTGCATCTGAATTTATATATGTTAAGCAACTCCATTAATGCAACATACTTAAGTACCTTTCAGAACTGTAGCCAATGTTATTCTTTATTCCAATAGGATAAGAATAAAATTAACATAACTGCTTGTTTCCTATTAAGTAACTGTAACAAATCTGTTACTATAACTTAAGACTGAAACTCGTATTTGAGTAATTTAGAAGACATTATTAAAAATCCTACAAATTACGTGTACAGAAATGCTAAAGCGCTTACATAGATGATAGGTCCTGTTAAGCGTTTGTTGAAATTATACAGCTTGGGTTGTATGTGAATCTAAAGTATAGTCTCTACTCTTAATATGTATAGTGAAAAAATGTGAACACTTTTTTCTCTCAATAAAATTCTATTACTAGGTTATTTTATTGGAACAGGGTCTGCTTTTTCAATTTTGGCCCATTAATAAAATAAAAGGCATCACTTTAGAGAATCTCCTCCTTTTTTTTTTTTTTTTTTTTTTTTAACATACTGCATAAACAAAGATGCATCCTGAGCTTCACTATCCCCATCCAAGTCCCAGGAAAAAAAAAATGCTGACCTTGTTATATTTACTGGGTGGGTGCAGAATTGTTCCATCACTACCCCGAGGGTTGAACGATGGAGCTTGTCAAAGTGAGGCCTTATCTAATGAATCATCTTATCGCAGGTGCACACCACACATATTAAAGGAGGATTGTATGAACAATGTGCCCTCTACAATAACCTTTCAATGTCTACTTTAACCCTTGTTTCAATCCCTTTTCATCAAAGGATCATTTTATGCAGCCAGCTTTAAATGGAGGCTCTCAAAAGCCTATTAAGATTTCTGGAGGGATGGGGTATTGGTTTGGAAGAAAAGTTGGTTATAATACCTATAACTCATAGTCAGATCAGCTCCACCTAGAAGCCTGCTTGTTTATATCTGTGCTCCAGGAATGGTTCGCAATGCTGCTCATATGAGGCACTTGGCACCAAAGATGTTCCTTGTAAGAGCTGAAGATACAAAGCCAGGCCAGTTTTCCAGTAGTTTTCCCTTTACAAGTTCTTCCCAGGAAAGCATAAGCCAAGTGCGGGCATACATTGTATGTTTAAAGATCTGCTACTGTGAATATCTCACTGAATGGAACTATAGATTGAGCCAGGCTGTTTATTCCTCACATAATATGAAATCCAATAATTCCACAGGTCACAGTGAAAGGGAGGAGAAAGGAAGAATATCCCCTATTGTTGGATAAAATTACAAAATCCATGTGTCTGCGTAGCTCTTTTGAATAAGGCTGTCTCTTTATTAATTGTTTTTACAAACGTTCTTTTGTACTGGATGATGATTACTGCAGATCTCACCACACTATAGATAAATATTGATAAGAAGTGTGTAATGTAACACCTATCTTTGTAATATTTAGCATGTACTGTTCTTGATAATATTCAGCATATATTGTTTAGAGCACACATCTGCCTACAAAACAGGGTTATGCATTGAAACTAAACTATATTCCCAAAAGCAAACTATATTTATTGTAAATTAATGGAACTGTTGTGACTAAACAAGAAGTGAAAGATGTGTATGTTCAAAACTGTGACTGTAAGTAAATTGTAATTCTAGATGCCTTCATTTCTGAGTGAACAACATGGGCTTGTTAAGGCGCTGAATTTCCCTAATATGTTAAGAATTTTGCCTTTGAAAATTGCCCCCTTTGAAGAATCGTAAGTTTGACACTCAAAACTCCCTCCTGCAAATTTAAGGCTGGTTGATTTACCAGATTGTTTGTATGTGCAATCTTGGTAATTGCAGGCTGCTGCTTGGGAAAAAGTCAGGGCTTGTAAGTGTCCATCTGTCTGGCTAAATATATGGTGACCAGTAATCCCTAGAGACATGAAGCTGTAGGTCAAATCCAAGATCCTACAGCAATTTTAGGGAAATGATCTTTTAAATGACATGGCGTGAATGGCATGGCCTTAGAAATTCTTATAATTGCAATAATAAACTTGTATGTATTAACAAATATGCTGTAAAAATGGTTGTTATTGTATTTACAGAGATGGTGATTTTTATTTTCCTTTGAATGGCAATAAGAACCATAACAGCAGAGCTACCCAAGACTACCATAGCGAAGAGATCTAATCCGTTGGAATAATATGTCTAGATCACCTGATTAATTTGATATAGTGCAGGTAGAGGACTCTAAATCAATTTTTCATTTTCCCAGGCATATTATGAAGAGCTATTGGCCCATGTAACACTGCTTACGTTCTGTTTGCCCTCAGCACTTTCCAGGAAGCATTTGCAGGACTGAACTTTTATATCTTAAATTTAAAGGCAGGGGTAAGAGAATTGCTAGATTCTACCTAAGGAGATTCCCACTAATTTCAAAGTGAAGCTGTCCACTCGCTCAGCCTCGGTCTGCCTTTGTATATGACAAGTGTCATTTCTGCACTGGGATTAGTCAGAGATGTAATAATCAGAAATTTTTTGCTCTGTTATTATAAGAGAAATTACAATGAGACTTAAGTATCTTTATGTATATTAAGTATATGAAAGATGCTTTTTTAAGCTGTTGTTCTTAATCATTGTAAGTAAATGAATCACAAAGAATAGGGAAACATGAATGATGGTTCTGTTTCTATAAACACTACCTGCAAACCAATTTGCTAGTTCGCTAAAACATAGAGCTAGATTGTCATCAGTTATGGTCATTTAAGTCTTCTGATTCAGCAGGGTCAAGTACATTTTTACTATAGAGGCTGAGCCCTTCAGCAAGTTCCATTTCTCTAATGGAAAAATGTTGAGTTTTTTAAGAAAGAAGAAAAATATATATCCCAGTTCAGTAACTAACTGATCAACTATTCTTATCACCAAAGTATGAAGGTGTCATAGTAAGAGTTGGCATTACGAACTGTCTGATGGCTAAAAGAGAAAAATAACTTTTTATTTTCTCATAGGCTAATATGAAAACAGTATTTACAGTGGTCCTATACCTGTTTTAACTCACAGTGAGCTTAAAAGGGGTAGTGCTCTCCAAGGAACACAGTCTCCACTGTGCTCGTGCCTTGCTCTGTAGATATGAAAACCTTCCATGTATGGACAGCCATGGGCACACCTCCACCCTGGCAATTAACAAGAATAACTAATTTGGGGGAGTTGTAATCCAGAAGTAGCTGAGAAAACTAAATGGAGAGAGTGGCACTGTTGATCCAATTAGATAATGGGAGTACTTTGGTTCTCATTATTCTGATGAGAGGGTAGACATTTGCTCTTTGGGCTCCTTGATGGTAAATGGTGCTAATGAGGCCTGATGGATCCTCTGCTCCTAACAAGCCTCTCAGCAGTGCAAGTGATTACAATGGAGATAGATTTGATGGGATGCGCTCCCTTTTGTAGTGTCTCAGCTGCTGACACTCTGCGACATAATCAGGTCACAGAGCCGGTCACAGCCATCAGCAAAAGCCATAGCTCTATCCCTCATTATTAAAGTGCATTATTCAGTTCCAGGCCTTCACAATACTGCCAAGGGCCTTTTTTTCTTCTTTTTTGTTAAGCATCAGTTCTCAAATACAAGGGTTAATAAAATCATCAGCTAAAGAACTAGTAAATTAAAGAAATGGAAATAAAGCACTCCCTTTCAAATTCGTTGAAGGATCACAATTAAATAAGCAGGGAATTTCTCATCACAGCGTACTGTACAGTACAATGTAATATGTCATGTGCAATAAAACAGGAAAAGGGATTTAAAAGAATAGCGTTGTCCTCATTGCAGACTGGCTTGGAAAGTGCTAAAATATCTCTCATTCAGGAGAGAATCTCTGTCTTGCCAAGTATTACATATGTGTATGCAGGTACTATTATTTCCACAATTTTCTGTAGCTTTTTTTTTTTTTTTTTTGAGGGGATGGTCAAGAACTACGGAATTTATTATTCTGAGTTTAGCAGCTGTGTCTTGTCTTACTTAAGGTGGTTGAGGCGACAAACTGGAAATACGGTCTTGACGATGGTGCTAAGACTGCTCCATTGTCAGAGACAAGTTGCCTTCCTTCGAAGGACAGGTGAATTACAAAACAGTATGGGAAAAGATACAAAATTTCATTTTGTACTGTTGATATTAAGTAAGTCAGTTATCTCACCTCCAAATGGAAATTAATTTGAGGGGAGATTTCAAATGAGTTTAGTTAAATTGGTAAGACATACTGAGTGGGGACCCTTATTTTTAAAAGTGTGCAATTTTGGCGCATTTTGAGTAGGTTTCAACTAAACTGAAATAAGA